TACCACTACAGGCCACTGTGTGCCAGGCTCTGTCTTAGGCACTGAGGTTATAGGGTGGATACTGCCACGTGCCTGACACAAAGCCATTATTTAGCCAGGACCCTGCTGTTCAACAGTTATAACCAAGATAAGTGACGTGATTCTGAAGATGGCCAATACTGAGTTCGAATCTCTGCTCTACTACTCACATTGAGTAAAGCACTTAGGTTGGAGAGTGTTTATTTGTCTTTAAAATGAGAAAAATAGTACCAAGTTCACCAGGGCTGCTTTGAGAGCTAAGTGAGACATGCATATAAAGAGCTTAGCATAGTGCTAGTTAGTACACAGCAGGCATCTAATAAACGTTCATTCTCATCCTTGCCTTGCACAGCAAGAAAGACTGGCTGAAAATGGAAAGGAGACAAAAAAGGAAGCTAGAAAGTCATCAGAGCTAAAGAAATGCTTAGACCAGAGGTGGACAACCTACTTCTGTGAAGGGCCAGATGGTAGGTATGTTAGACTCTGTAGGTGCTACAGTCTCCGCAGCAACTACACAACTCCACCGTTGCAGCGCTAGAGACTATGTGATGAATAAGCATGGCTGTGTTCCAATAAAACTCTATTTACAAAACCAAGCAGCAGGCCAAATTCGGCCGGTGGGCTACTGGCCAACTCCTCTTGGTCTAAACTCCAATCTGCAAAAAGGTAAAGGGCACCCCCATGGGGGTCCTGAACAGGAATTCAAAGGGATGGTCAGGCTTGCTGGACAGAGAGTGTCAGCCAATCAAAGTGTTCTCTCCTGGACATGTGTGCAAATGTCAGAAATGCACCAGCCCACACACCCACATTTGACACCGTGCTGAATCTCACCGCACAAGAGGCAAACCACAGCCAGACACAGTGGCTCATGCCTGTAATCCCAGCACTTTGGGAAGCCGAAGTGGCAGATTACTTGAGGTCAGGAGTTCAAGATGAGCCTGGCCAACATGGTGAAACCCCATCTCTACTAAAAATACAAAAACTAGCCGGGCCTAGTGGCGCACACCTGTAGTCCCAGCTACTCCAGAGGCTGAGGCAGGAGAACCACTTCAACCTGGGAGGAGAGGCTGCAGAGCCAAGATCGTGCCACTGCACTTCAGCCTTGGTGACAGAGCAAGACTCCACCTCAAAAAAAAGAAAAAGAAAAAAGAGGCAAACCATAGTGTCTTCTGCCCTCTTGGAGGACCAGGAGTGCCACAGGAGGAGCCAGGGGAGATGAGACAGAGACAGAAAGCAATGACTGGAGAGAAGAGTTGTGGTGTCCCAGCCCTCCACAGTGCAGCCTTCCAGCCGCCAGAGCTGAGAGCTTCATGCCACCCAGGGTGGCAGAGCAGATCCCAGGCCCAGGTGGACAGGAATGCAGAAAGTAGGAAGAAAGGGTCAAGTCAGCTCTTGCGTCACCCCTGGTACACATACACCCACGGGAGAAGTGAAAAGGAATTTATCCAAGGGAGATCAGAAATCAGAAAGTCCCTCCTTCAAAAAGCTTCCAGAACCATCCACAGCAAGAGAGCTCTTCCCAGGCTCCCAGAGGAAGCCTAATGGGTCAGGTGATCCCCACACCAGCCAAGCAGCCCCAACCAAACAGAGTTTACCCTCAGCAATCTAAGGCCTGCAGCCACTAGGTAAGGTGTGACTTGTTTTGTATTAATTCCAGTTCTAAAGAATGGCTTGGCTGGGAACCGTAGCTCACGCCTGTAATCCCAACATTTTGGGAGGCCAAAGCAGGTAGATCACTTGAGGTCCGGAGCTCAAGATCAGCCAGGCCAACATGATGAAGCCCTGTCTTTACTAAAAATACAAAAATTAGTCGAGCATGGTGGCGGGTGCCTGTAATCCCAGCTACATAGGAGGCTGAGGCAGGAGAATCACTTGAACCAGGAGGCGGAGGTTACAGTGAGCCGAGATCGTGCCACTGCACTCCTGCCTGGGTGACAAGAGCAAGAATCCATCTCAAAACAACAACAACAATGACAAAAAATAATGGCCCAACACTTGACAAATGGGGACACTTGGCTGTCACACACTCACACACACTGATAACACAACATGCACAACAGTCGCTGACTCATGAGTCCCTCTCTGTGCCAGGTGTCAGCTAGGGATTCAAAATGGGTGACCCAGGTATGGTCATTGCCTTTGTGAACTGTATACATATGCAAACACATACAACACAAAGACACACACACCCACTCACACACATACGCGAACACAAACACACTAACAAGCACGCATTCGCACATTAGCACATACATGCATATACATGCCTGTGACTGCACAGAAGAGAATACACAGGCATGCATACACACACCTACACACAGATGCATAGGAACACAGACGCATGCACTTGCTCATTTCTCCAACCCAGCTCCTCTTTGAGCAAGGAAATACCAACACAGGGCTCCTCGAACATACACTGGGACATGCATTATTTTTTTTTTCTTTTCCCTGTCACAAAGGCTGGAATGCAGTGGCATGATCTCTGCTCACTGCAATCTCTGCCTCCCAGGGTCAAGTGATTCTCCTGCCTCAGCCTCCCTACTAGCTGGGATTAAAAGCGTGCACCACCATGTCTGGCTAATTTTTGTATTTTTAGCATATACGGCATTTCACCATGTTGGCCAGGCTAATTTTCAACTCCTGACCTCAGGTGATCTTCCTGCCTCGGCCTCCCAAAGGGCTAGGATTACAGCCACCGTGTCCAGCCAGGGACATGTGTTTCTAAAATCTCTTGGTTATCAACAGCCTCCTCCTCCATGCTGATGCCCAGCAAGCCCTTTCATCACCCACAAGGCGAGCCTCTGACCTTCAACGAGGTTCAGGCCAAGCCCAACAGAACCACAGAGCTGAAAAGTGCTCCCATTGCACCCTGCCCATTGCCAGCTGACTAGCCATGAACCAGCATCAAATAGGTGCTCCAAGGCCACCTGTCACACTTACAATAAAACCCAAGCAGCGCCAGGCACAGTGGCTCATGCCTGTAATCCCAGCACTTTGGGAGGCTGATGCAGGTGGATCACCTGAGTTCGGGAGATCAAGACCAACCTGACCAACATGGAGAAACCCTGTCTCTACTAAAAATACAAAATTAGCCAGGTGTGGTGGTGCATGCCTGTAATCCCAGCTACTTGGGAGGCTGAGGCAGGAGAATCGCTTGAACCCAGTGGGCAGAGGTTGCAGTGAGCCAAGATCATGCCATTGAACTCCAGCCTGGGCAACAAGAGTGAAACTCCGTTTTAAAAAAAATAAAATAAAATAAATAAAACCCAAACAGCTCATCCGGCTCACAGGGGGATGGTCCCACCTCTCAGGCACCCACCATCTCTTGGCCTTCCCCGCCACGCTGGCTTCTCTTGCTTTCCCGTCCACGCCTCCCACCCCGGTGCCCCTGCACTTGCTCCCCTCTGCCCTGGAACACTCTTCCTCTAAGGGTTTGCTCCACCCACTCCCTCACCCCTTTAGGTCTGTGCTCAAATGCAGTGTTTCTGGACTGGCCTTCCCGGATCTCTCTTATCAAAAATTGCACGTAGGCCAGGGCAACACAGCCAGAGTCCATCTCTATTAGAAAAATAAAGAATATAGGTCAGGCGTGGTGACTCATACCTGTAATCCCAGCACTCTGAGAGGCCAAGGTGGGAGGACCGCTTGAGCCCAGTGGTTTGAGACCAGCCTGGCCAACATAGTAAGACCCCATCTCTAATTAATAAATTAAAAGTTTGCCAGGTTGGGGATCGGGTGGAAGGAGAGCATCAGGAAGAATAGCTAATGGATCCTCAGCTTGATTCCTAGATGACGGGTTGATCTGTGCAGCAAATCACCAGGGCATACATTTACCTATGTAACAAACCTGCACATCCTGCACATGTACCCTAGAACTTAAAAGTTGAATAAAAAATTTGGCAGCTGGGGTCAGTGGCTCATTTCTGTAATCCCAGCACTTTGAGGGGCTGAGGTGGGTGGATCATGAGGTCAGGAGATTGAGACTATCCTGGATAACATGGTGAAACCCCGTCTCTACTAAAAATACAAAAAATTAGCCAGGCATGGTGGCATATGCCTGTAGTTCCAGCTACTTGGAAAGCTGAGGCAGGAGAATCGCTTGAACCCAGGAGGCAGAGGTTACAGTGAGCCAAGATCATGCCACTGCACTCCAGCCTGGGTGACAGAATAAGACTGTCTCAAACCAAAAAAAAAAAAATTGCCAGGCATGGTGAAACACGCCTGTAATTCCAGCTACTCAGAAGACTGAAGTAGGAGAATTGCTTGAACCCAGGAGGTCAAGGCTATAGTGAGCCAGGATCATACCACTGCACTCCAGCCTGGGCAATGAGCAAGATCCTGTCTCAAAGAAAGAAAAACAAAAGAATTAAGGGAGACAAATGAAGTGTTCCCTTTTGTTCTACCAGCAGAAATCGTGGCCATCTCCACACTCCCCACTGACGAGTTTCCGCATTTACATAATTTCTGTGAAACTGACAAAAAAGACCAAGGGTCTGAAACTCAAATCCCTAGGGTCCAGACACCTGCCACAAGTGAGGAAAGCACTCCAGTATAATACGGCAGGGAGTGGTGAGGACTCCAGCAACTCCACAGCTCCGCCCTGTGGAATTAGAGGCCTAATTATCAGAAATTCTCACTTTTCCAGAACATCTGGACAGCTAGAATTCATAAAAAGTACTGATTTTTAAATATCTGCTCACATTTTCCAGAATCACCACGCCAAGTGAAAAACCTACAGGCCTACAAGACACAGCAGTTCACAAGGACAAAGCAGATTCTCTCCTTCAGCTCCCCCAGCCACATCTAAGCCTCAGTTTTTCCATCTGTAAAGTGGGCAGGATGATATTTCCTATATCAGGGGTTGAGGGAGGCTGGAACGAGATCCTGGATGGACCTGAGAAATGTTAGCTGGTACTGTGTCATGCTTCTCTCTCGCACTCACATACACACACGCGCATACACCTGTCTACGGTCACACTTACAGGGTCGTGGATGGTTTCCGAGAACAGAGGTGAGCGATCTGAGAAACAGGACAGGACGAGCTGAATGAGCACAAGGGTAAAGTAGACATAGAAACTGATGTCACGAAACAGGTCCACCCGAGCATCCTGCACGGTGGGGAAGGAAAAAAGGAAAAAGGTCACATTCTGGGGCTGGGCACGGTGGCTGACGTCTGTAATCCTAGCACTTTTGGAGGCCAAGATAGGCAGATCACAGGAGGTCAGGAGGTCAAGACCAGCCTGGCCAACATTGTGAAACCTCGTCTCAACTAAAAATACAAAATTTAGCTAGGTGTAGTGGTAGGTGCCTATAATCCCAGCTACTAAGGAGGCTGAAACAGGAGAACGGCTTGAACCCAGGAGGCAGAGGCTATAGTAAGACGTCGTGCCACGGCACTCCAGCCTCGCGACAGAGTGGGATTCCATCTCCAAAAAAAATGTGCACACTCCTCGAAATTCCTAGGAGCAGCCCACGGCAGCCAATGTAAACAACATTTCCAGCCAGAACAGCAACTGACAGGATAAAGGTAATATGAGGACAAGCCTAGGGTCCCGGGGGGGAACAGTCACTCTGCAAACACTGCTCCCGGCTCAGCTCCAATCCCAGCCCAGCAGCATTTGCAGCCGCCTGTCTTGCTGTTTCCTGCTAATGGGGACACCCTGGCATCTGCCCACAGCTCCTGCCCTTGGAGGTCCCATGGGAGCCCCTCGGAGGAACACAGACAAATCAGGCCCTGGGGAAGGAAGGCTCTAGGACAAAGGCTGGGATTGACCTGGTAAGAATTTGGTGGGGTAGGGAAGTTTCCAAGCAAGAAGTCAGGTGCATGTGGTACCCATCCTCTGGTTCCCATGGCAACACATAGCTTCTACACAAGCCAGAGGGACCCAGCATCTCTCCCCCTGGGCCACTGAAGGAAGATGAGGAATGAGGCTGCCACTTACCGCTTTTAAGGCAGTCATGATTTTGGATCTCAGGATGGCTAGGGCACACAGCAGGGCTACCAGCCAGAAAGTGAGCATGATCCCTGAGGACTGAACTCCCTTCCGCCTCTCCAGCTGAATTAAAAAGGTAGCAAGCAGCTGAGGAGAGAAGCACACAACAGGAGCTGGTGATTTTTTTTTTTTTTTTTTTTTTTTAGATGGAGTTTCACTCTTGTTGTCCAGGCGGGAGTGCAGAGGCACAATCTCAGCTCACTGCAACCTCTGTCTCCCAAGTTCAAGCAATTCTCCTGCTTCAGCCTCCTGAGTACCTGGGACTATAGGTGCCTGCCACAATGCTCAGCTAATTTTTGTATTTTTTTTTTTTTTTTGAGACAGAGTTTCACTCATGTTACCCAGGCTGGAGTGCAATGGCGCGATCTCGGCTCACCGCAACCTCCGCCTCCTGGGTTCAGGCAATTCTCCTGCCTCAGCTTCCTGAGTAGCTGGGATTACAGGTACGCACCACCATGCCCAGCTAATTTTTTTGTATTTTTAGTAGAGACGGGGTTTCATGATGTTGGCCAGGCTGGTCTGAAACTCCCGACCTCAGGTGATCCGTTTGCCTCGGCCTCCCATGGTGCTGGGATTACAAGTGTGAGTCAAAGCGCCCAGCCCACAGGACTTAAGAGAGGGCAGAACCTTGTCGGGTGCAGGGATTCACACCTGTAGTCCCAGCACTTTGGGAGGCTGAGGTGGGTGGATCACCTGAGATCAGCAGTTCGAGACCACCCTGGCCAACATGGTGAAACCCCACCCCTACTTAAAAAAAAAAAAACTACAAAAATGAGCCAGGCATGGTGGCAGATGCCTATAATCCCAACTATTCAGGAGGCTAAAGCAGAAGAATCACTTGAACCTAGGAGGCAGAGGTTGCAGTGAGCCGAGATCATGCCATTGCACTCTGGCCTGACAAACAAGAGTGAGACTGAGTCTTTAAAAATAAAAATAATTTTTTAAAAAGAGAGCAAGACCATCATCTTCGTATTCATTCATCATTTATCTCCTGATGCAGGACACCATTCACCGTAATTCTTTTCTTTTTCTTTTGAGACAGGGTCTCGCTGCGTTGTCCAGGCCGGAATGCAGCAGCCTGACCACAGCCTGGTCCCTATGAGCTGGCAGACCGTAAACCTGGAGTAAGGACTGCCCTTCAGCTCAGAGGCTCCAGGCCCAGCTCCACCCCTGCCTCACTGAGCACCTGCAGGCAAGTTACAGAACCTCTTGGGATCTCCAATGCCTCCTCTGCAAAATAGAGATACGAACAGCATCAACCTGGAAAGTTGCAGGGGTTAGGGGAGCCCATGTGTCGATCTGGGATGGGATAGAAAGGTCAGGGGGAAAGCCTGGTTTGGGTTGTTCTTGTTGATGATGTTGTTTGAGACAGGGTCTCGCTCTGTTGCCCAGGCTGGATTGCAGCGGTGTGACCACAGTTCACTGTAAGCCTCAAACTCCTGGGCTTGAGCGATCCTCCCACCTCGGCCTCCTGAGCTGCTGAGACTATAGAGAGCCACAAGGCCCATAAAATTTTTTTTTTTTTTTTTTTTTTTTTTTTTCCAAACACAGGGTCACTCTGTTTCCCACACTGATCTTGAACTCCTGGCCTCAAGCAATCTTCCCATCTCAGCCTCCCAAAGTGTTGGGATTACAGGTGTGAGCCACCCATCAGGATGAAGGCTCCATTTAGAACAGACATCAGCACACTTTTCTCTGAGACAGGGTCTCCCTCTGCCTGCCCAGGCTGGCGCACAGTGATGCTATCACCGCTCACGGCAGCCTCAAACTTCCAGGCTCGGGCAATTCTCCCACTTCAGCCTCCCGAGCAGCAGGCACCACAGGTGCACACCACCATGCCCAGACGAATTTTCTGGGGGTGGGTAGAGATGGGTCTTATGATGCCTGGGCTGGTCTGTAACTCCTTGCCTCAAATGATCCTTTCACCTTCACCTTCCAAAGTGCTAGGATTTCAGGTGTGAGCCACTGCTCCCAGCCACACTATTTCTTGATGGACCACATAATTAATATTTTGGACTTCACAGGCCAAAGACACTACATCAAAACTACTTGGCCAGGTGTGGTGGCTCACACCTGTAATCCCAGTGCTTTGGGAGGCCGAGGTCAGGACATCGAGATCATCCTGGCTAACACAGTGAAGGCCCATCTCTACCAAAAATACAAAAAATTTGCCAGGCATGGTAGCGCGTGTCTGTAGTCCCAGCTACTTACGAGGTTGAGGCAGGAGAATCGCTTGAACCCAGGAGGTGGAGGTTGTAGAGAGCCAAGATCATGCTACTGCACTCCAGCCTGGGCAATAGAGCAAGACTCTGTCTCAAAAAGAAAAAAATACTCAGCTCTGCCACCGTAGTGTGAAAGTGGCCATAGCCAATATGTAAATGAATAGTCATGCCTTCATGCCAATAAAACTTTATTTAGAAATACAGGCAGAGTAACTGGAATGAAAAACAAAACCCACATGCCCTGATGCTCCAAGTTCCCGGGGTCAGCCTCTGCCCCATCTCCCCTGCTCTCCGCCTCGCCCATCTCTGCTCCAGCCACACAGAACTCTCAAGTTCTCCCTGTGACCCCAGGACTTTACATGTGCTATTCTCCCCAACTGGTCTTCTGCCCTCAGGTCCTTCAACGTTTTAACAACCTGCTCGGCTGCACCATCCCTCCCTTAGAGAAGCTTCACTATCCCCCAGCCAAGTCAAGCATCCCTCCCTCCCCCCTCATGGCACTCTGCATACACTTAATACTTGGTGCCTTTTTGAGTACTCATTTATTTAATGTGTGTTTGTACAGATAGACTATATGCTTGTGTCTCCAATGCTTGGTATGGAGTAGGGATAAAAAAAATTTTTAACATCAGCCAGGTGCAGTGGCTCATGCCTGTAATTCCAATACTTTGGGAGGTCAATGCGGATGGATCACTTGAAGTCAAGAATTGGAGACCAGCCAGGCCAACATGGTGAAACTCCATCTCTACAAAAAATACAAAAGTTGGCCAGCTGTGGTGGCACATGCCTGTAATCCCAGCTACTCAGGAGGCTGAGGCAGGAGAATTGCTTGAACCACATGGAGGTTGCAGTGAGTTGAGATCATGCCACCCACTGCACTCCAGGCTGGGCAACGGAGCAAGACTCCGTTGAAAAAAAAAAACCCAAAAAAAGTGTGCTGGCTGCATCCTGTCCCATATTCCCAGTGCCTGCATATTCTGGTTCCCTGCGGTACAGTCAGAATGCTCCTGATGCATTCACAGCAGAGCTGGTCCTCCGTTCCATCCCAGAGACCTCAGGTGAACAAAAGAGGCTGAGGATCTCACAGGTCAGTTCACCTCTCAGCCAGCGCAGCTCAGAGTCCCCTGAGGGATCAAAAGACCCAAACCTGGACCATCACCCGTGTCCCCAGGATGAGAGACAAAGGCATAAATGAATGATCAAAAGACCAGGAATAGCTGGGTGCGGTGGCTCACGACTGTAATCCCACCACTTTGGGAGGCCATAGCAGGTGGGTCATCTGAGGTCAGGAGTTCGAGACCAGCCTGACCAACATGGTGAAACCCCGTCTCTACTAAAAAATACAAAAATTAGCTGGGCATGGTGGCATGCACCTGTAATCCCAGCTACTCGGGAGGCTGAGGCAAGAGAATCACTTGAACCCAGGAGGCAGAGGTTGCAGTGAGCTGAGATCGCACCATTGGATTCCAACCTGAGCAACAAGAGTAAAACTCCACCTCAAAAAAAAAATATGACCAAGAACGAGGAAATTAAGCGGGGGATGACCTACTCAAGTCAAAACAGCTGACCAGGTGTGGTGGCTCATGCCCGTAATCCCAGTACTTTAGGAGGCCAAGGTGGGGAGATCACTTGAGCCCAGGACTTAAGACCAGCCTGGGCAAGATGCAGAGAGACTCTGTCTCTATTATATTTAAATTGAAAAAAAAAAACTCTAATATCGCACTGCCAGAACACTGAGCCCAAGATCCGAATTCAAGACAAAGCAAAGCCCTTTACTGACTCATTCCCTCCATGCATTTATGGAATGCTTACTGAATGCCAGGCACAGTGCCAGGCTCTGAGGGTCCAAAGGGGAACCAAACCCCAGGAGAGCCAGGCACAAAGCAGAGAGAGCCCCGCAGGTGCCAGGCCACACGCTGGGGCCCAGACTGGAAGCTGACTCCACCACTTGCTCACCAGGTTACCGTGGGCCAGTTCGCTTATCTAACACACAACAGGAGGATAATCAGTAAACAAATATAAATGGATTAATAAATAAAGGGATTAGGTCAGTTCCTGGAAGAGAGTGAATAGCACATATGTATGCTATAAAAAATCATGGTCTGGGCAAGGCACCCTGACTCACACCTACAATCCTGGCACTTTGGGAGCCCCAGGCAGGAGCATCACTTGCAACCAGGAGTTTGAGGCCAGCCTTGGCAACATAGGTAGACCCCGTCTCTACAAAAATAACAAATTTAGCCCGGCGTGTTGGTGCATGCCTGTGCTCCCAGCTACTGGGGAGGCTGAGGCAGGAAGATCGCTTGAGCCCAGGAATGCAAGCCTGCTGTGAGCTGTGGTCTCACACCAGTGCAGTTCAGCCTGAGCAACTGAGTAAGACTGTCTCTAATATTTAAAAATAAAATATTAATTAAAATAAAGACTCACGGTCCTTGGCAATCTGGCTGTACCCCTCTGTCATGCCCACTCTCTATCCCCTCAACCTTTCACACCGTGTTCCTTTTTCACAGCTCATCTCCCTCCCCGCATACTCCCCTTAACCTTCAACCCCTCCCTAGACAAACTGTTTTCCCTGTTTAGAATGTCGTGCCTCAAACTTGTTCTGTTTTTTTTTTTTTCTTTTTTGAGACAAGGTTTCACTCTGTCGCCCAGACTAAACCACAGTGGTACAATCCCAGCTCGCTGCACCTCTGCTTCCCGGGTTCAAGCTATTCTCCTGTCTCAGCCTCCTGAGTAGCTGGGACTATAGGCGTGTGCTACCACACCTGGCTAATTTTTGTATTTTTAGTAGAGACGGGGTTTCGCCATGTTGGTCAGGCTGGTCTCGAACTCCCGACCTCAAGTGATTCTCCAGCCTCGGCCTTCCAAAGTGCTGGGATTACAGGCATGAGCCACTGCGCCTGGCCTCCCTCCCCATTTTACAGCACTTAAGGGCTACACTCTCTGAGAACTCTCTAATCATGACTCAGAAGCAGCAGCTTGCAGGGGCTAAAAGCATAGCCTCTGGGGTTGCACCCCTCACTCAGCTGCATGCTAGTGGTGTGACCTTGAGCAGGACACTTAACCTCTCTGTGCCTTGTTTCCTCACCTGTAAGATGGGAATAAAGCAGTACACATCTCGTCTACAGCTATACCAACCTGAACGCACCCAATCTCATCTGATCTCGGAAGCTAAGCAGGGTCGGGCCTGGTTAGTACTTGGATGGGAGACCGCTTGGGAAAACTGGGTGCTGTAGGCTTTTTAAAAAAAAAAAAAAAAAAAAAAGCAGTACCCATCTCACAGGGCTGTTCTGAAAATTCAATGAATTTCAAGACATGTGAAACACCAAGAATACTGCAAGGTACATACATCGTGAGTCCTTGATGCATGTCAGCTGTAATTAATAAAGTCGATTCCTTGTCTCTACCATTCACTAAGTCCTGTATCCCCTGGGACAGAGCAGTTTCCTATTTAGCTTAGCAACCCACCCCCTACGCCAAATACTGAAAACTCAAGGCTATCAGGTCCCAGGCAGTTAGTATGTAAGTGACCAAAGTAGCTAGTACAAAAGCAAAGTACAGCAAACACAACAAAAGGGGGCATCTGCCAGTCAGAATCAGTGGCAGGGAAGACAACACGGCATGGTGGGGACTGTAGCAAACTGGACAACACATGCCCCAGCCAAAGACTGCAGCTGGGGCTGGGAGCAGTGGCTCATGCCTATAATGTCAGCGTTCTGGGAAGACCAGACAGACGGATCACTTGAGGCCAGGAACTTAAGATCAGCCTAGACAACACAGTAAGATCCCACTTCTACAAACAAAAATTTAAATTAGCCAAAAATTAGCTGGGCATGGTGACACACAGCTGTAGTCCCAACTACTCAGAAGGCTGAGGTGGGAAGACGGCTTGAGGCCAGAAGTTTGAGGCTGCAGTGAACTATGGTGGCACCACTGCACCCCAGCCTGGATGAAAGCGAGACCATGCCTCTTTAAGACGGGGGTGAGGGGGGGAGGCTACAATTGTATCTCAGCTCCAGCTGATCACTGCCCTAAAAAATTATAATTCTAGTCTTGCCAGACTGTTCAGTTTTCCAAGAAAAGCCGCATTTCTGGGTTTTTACTGCCAGGTCTCTCTCTCTCTCTCTCTGTCTCTCTCTCTCTCTCTCTGTCTCTCTCTGTCTCTCTGTGTGTGTGTGTGTGTGTGTGTGTGTGTGTGTGTGTGTGTGTGTGTGTCTCTCTCTCTCTCTGTCTCTCTCTCTCTCTCTCTGTCTCTCTCTGTCTCTGTGTGTGTGTGTGTGTGTGTGTGTGTGTGTGTGTGTGTGTGTGTGTGTGTGTATGTGTGTGTATTTTTAGTAGAGATGGGGTTTCGCTATGTTGGCCAGGCTGGTAAGTGATCCGCCCACCTCAGCCTCGCATAGTGCTGGGATTACAGGCATGAGCCATCGCGCCCAGTCCGTCTTTGTATTTCTAAATGCCAGTTACTACTTTCGGTCTCCACTGAGCCCGGCAGATCACCCAGGGGTCACAGCCAGCTCCTACTTACCATGGTGATGCCCAAAAGAGTTGGGCTGACCAGAAACACTGGGGCCAGGAATATGCCCCGACTTCTTTCCCAGAAAGAGTAGAAGAGGTCTGCCCAGCAGACGATCCACAGCAAAAATCCCAAGGCCTGGAAGAGAAGCATATACACATCCTACAACCTTCAAATGATCAACCACAGTCCTAGGACACAGTGACTTTCCTCTGGAATAAGGACAAGTCCTTCAGAGGGGGACCTGGCATCTGGGCCGGCACACAATGGTCTACTGCCAGCTTGCCATGCCCCACTGCCTCCAACAGGACTGTCTGTCTGGTCACCATTCCCCCAGCACCTGAACACTCAAGAGCTCAGCCCACTGCTCATCTCTATCTGCAACCCCAGCACCCTGCGCAAGAAAGCCCTCCACAAACAGTATTTACTTAGGGGTCTCAAGGTGCATCCATTCTCAAATGATTCAGAAAAAATAAATTATAGCATGCATAGAGAGGGAGAGAGCAAAAGCTCTTGATAAAACAAATGTAGCAAAAGATTAAAAATCAGTGAATATAAACCAGATTCATGCCTGTAATCCCAGCACTTTGGGAGGCTGAGGAAGGAGGATTGCTGAGAGCCAGGAGTTTGAGAACAGCCTAGGCAACAAAGTGAGATCCTAGCTCTAAAAACAATTTTTTTTAATTAGTAAGGCATGGTGATACACGCCTGCAGTCCCAGCTACCAGCTACCCAAAAAGCTGAGGCAAGACAATGGCTTGAGCAAGGAGTTCGAGGTTGCAGTGTACTGTGATCATAACACTGCACTATAGCCTGGGCGACAGCAAAACCGTGTCTCACAAAAAAAAAAAAAAAAAAAAAAGACAGTAATTATGAGTAATGGATAGAGAAAATCAGGGGGGGCAGTTCCTGGTATCACTATTTCAACATTTTTATTTTTTTCGAGATGGAGTCTCGTTCTGTTGCACAAGCTAGAGTGCAGTGACAGAATATTAGCTCACTGCAACCTCCACCTCCTGGGTTCAAGGGATCCTCTAGCCTCAGCTTTCCAAGCAGCTCAGATTACAGGCATGTGCCACCATACCCAGCTAATTTTTGTATTGTATGTAGAAAAAGGGTTTCACCATGTTGGTCAGGCTAGTCTCAAACTCCTGGCCTTAAGTGATCCGCCCACCTTGGCCTTGCAAAGTGCTGGGATTACAGGTATGAGCCACCACACCTGGTCCACAACTGCAATTTTCCTGTAGCTTTAAATTATTTCAAAATAAAAGAAAACTTAAAAAAAAAAAAAAAAAAACATTAGGGGCCAGGCATGGTGGTTCACACCTGTAATCCCAGTACTTTGGGAGGCCACGACAGGAAGACTACTCGAAACCAGGAGTTCAAGACCAGCCTGAGCAACATAGCAAGACCTGCTCTATACATAAAATTAACAATTGGTCAGGAAAAAAATACACACACACACACACACACACACACACACACACACACACACACACACACATATACTTAAAAAAGCTCACCCCCTTGGTAAGGGGGGAAGAAATGATAATTTCCCAGTAACACCTTGAGAGCAATCCTATCATTCCTGTTGCATAAATAGGGAAACTGAGGCTTGGGGGGTTAAAAAATTTGCTCAAGGCCAAATACTAAGTGGCAGAGCCAAGATTTGAACCCATGTTTGTCTCCAGAGCTCCAGTGTTCATCTCCCACCTTCTTCTTCTGCCTTCTACAAGAAGGAACTTAGGGTCAACTAAGTAGAAATGTTCGCTCTCACCAACCACGCTCCCCGTCCCAGGTGCACCTCCTCGCCCCTCCATGACAAAACCCCTCCCCCGGTGACTTACAGTTTTGGTTTTGTTGAGAGGTGTCATCTGAATGTAGCCCCGGTCATGTCGGGAGAGATAGAGGAAGTAGAAGGGGAAACAGGCCCAGAGGTAAAAACAAGGCACCCACACGAGGACCGTGTTCTGAAAGCACTTGGTGAAGTCGGGGTTGCTGGTATACCACGTGATGTTCCAGTCCTGCGGACACAAACACAGGCGAGGGGTCAGCAGACACAACCCAGAGGACAGGAGCTCACCTGGAGCTCCAAACCACCTGCCACGGGGTTTGAAGAAACAGACAAAGCTCCTTTACCCAAGGACTCTCAGGATGAAGACACAAACGCAAAAGATCAGCGGCCAGAAGACTAAGGAATGAGAAGCGAGAGATAAAAGTATGTGGTGTCTTCTGCACTCCCCGCTGAGAAACAGACCCTGTCTCAAAATAAGTAAATAAAGCTCTCTTAACAGGAGCATACAGGTCAGGTGCAGAGGCTCACGCCTGTAATTCCAGCACTTTGGGAGGCCAAGTGGACAGATCACTTGAGGCCAGGAGTTTTAGGCCAGCCTAGGCAACATAGTGAGATGCCGTCTCAACAAAAAACACAAGTGGCTGAGCATGGAGCACACCTGTAGTCCCAGCCACTCAGGAGGCTGAGGTGGGAGTATCGTTGGAGACTGGAAGGCGGAGGGTACAGTGACCTGAGATCATGCCACTGCTCTACAGCCTGGGCAACAGAGCGAGACTCTGTGTCTGTCTGTCTGTCTGTCTCTCTCTCTCTCTCTCTCTCTCTCTCTCTCTCTCTCACACACACACACACACACACACACAAAACCAACCAACAACAAAAAAGGCATGTAGTGTCTCATCTCGAATCTGTGCTAGTCCCACTGTAGTACAAAAGATGGAGACAGACATTTAAAGGAATCCTGAAGGATATTCTCTTGTAACCCAAGAACCCTAGGTCATCTAGTTCACTCTGACCTTGTGAAGGGAGGACTTTCTAATCTTCATTACCATCACCACCACCATCACCGCCACCGCCATCACTGCCGTCTCCGCCACCAACACCACCACCAATCTCACCACCACCAGCTCCACCACCAGTCTCACCACCACCATCACCACCACCCACTACCACCGCCACCGCCACCACATCACCACCATCATCACTGCTATCGCCGCCACCACCACCACCACCGTCACCATCAACACTACCCACCACCACCAGGATAACATCCAAATTGCAGTTCTGTGTGCCAGGTTTTATTCTAAGTTCCTCGTGTATATTATCTCCTTTAATTCTATAAGTATTTTTATCATCTCCTTTTTTAGATATGAAACTCAGGCGCAGAAGAGTTAAATACTGTGTCTGGTATCACACAGCTAGTAAGCTCTGGAGCTGAATTTAAACTCAGGCAATGTGGTTCAAGTCTGCATTTTACCACTGAGCTGTCCAACCTTGGAAACAAATTTGTTTCAATTACTTTTACTTAAAAAAGAAAGAAAGAAAAAAAAGAGCTGGGCGCGGTGGCTCACGTCTGTAATCCCAACACTTTGGGAGGCTGAGGCAGGCAGATCACCTGAGGTCAGGAGTTCGAGACCAGCCTGACCAATATGGTGAAACCCCATCTTTAAAAAAAAAAAAAAACCTGTATTTTGTTAAAGAGCCACGCCAAACTGATGAATACATAAATAGATCAGATATACCCACCTAAAAATAAACCTCCACTATCAGCTGTTATGTATTGAAGATTTTAAATTTTCCTTTATTTTCCTTTTTTTTTTTTTTTTTTGAAATGGGGTCTTGCTCTGTTGCCCAGGCTGGAGCGTGGTGTTAAGATCACAATTCCCTGCGCCTTGAACTCTCGGGCTCAAGCGATCCTTCCACTTCTGCCTCCTGAGCAGCTACACTACAGGTATGCCCCACCATGCCTGCCCAGCTGAAGAATTTAAATTTAAGTGAAGCCATAATCTGGCAACTGACTAGACAACTTTGAGAAAATTTACTCCCCTTTTTGGGATCTCAGTTTCCTATCTCTACTAAAATTAGGCTGGATAAAATAAGACATACAAAACAGGTTCCCCCAGCCACAGTTTGGCTTGTTGTTACTGCTGTTAAGGCATACTATTTACATTTTTTTTCTTTTTCTTTTTCTTTTTTTTTCTTTTTTTTTTTTTGGAGACAGAGTTTTGCTCTTGTTGCCCAAGCTGGAGGGCAATGGCGCAATCCTGGCTCACCGCAACCTCCGCCTACCCGGGTTCAAGCGATTTTCCTGCCTCAGTCTTCTGAGTAGCTGGGATTATAGACATGTGCTACCATGCCTGGCTAATTTTATATTTTTAGTAGAGATGGGGTTTCTCCACGTTGGTCAGGCTGGTCTTGAACTCCCAACCTCCAGTGATCTGCTCACCTCAGCCTCCCAAAGCGCTGGCATTACAGGCGTGAGCCACCATGCCCAGCTGGCATACTTTTTATTAAAAAAAAATTAGGGCCGGGCGCGGTGGCTCAAGCCTGTAATCCCAGCACTTTGGGAGGCCGAGGCGGGTGGATCACGAGGTCAAGAGATCGAGACCATCCTGTTCAACATGGTGAAACCCCGTCTGTACTAAAAATACAAAAATTCAGCTGGGCATGGTGGCGTGTGCCTGTAATCCCAGCTACTCAGGAGGCTGAGGAAGGAGAATTGCCTGAACCCAGGAGGCGGAGGTTGCGGTGAGCCGAGATCGTGCCATTGCACTCCAGCCTGGGTAACAAGAGCGAAACTCCGTCTCAACAAAAAAAAAAAAAAAAAAAAAAAAAAAAAAAAATTTGAATTTCTGGATTTGTTGTTGTTGAGATAGAGTCTTGCTTTCTCGCCCAGACTGGAATGCAGTGGCGTGATCTCAGCTCACTGCAACCTTCACTTCCTGGGTTCAAGCAATTCTCCTGCCTCAGCCTCCTCAGTAGCTGGGACTACAGTCACGCACCACCAAGCCTGGCTAATTGTTTTTAGTAGCGACAGGGTTTCACCATGTTGGCTAGTCTGGTCTCAAAGTCCTGACCTCAGGTGATCCGTCCACCTTGGCCTCCCATAGTGTTGGAATTACAGGCGTGAACCACCGTGCCCAGCCTCTAGCACAACTTTAAAAATCAGAAAATCTGGCGGTGCTAGGCCCCTATTCCTGCTACATGACCATGAGTAGGAGCTGGGAGGAGCCAGTCTCTGTATTAGGCCCAGGTGTTCAGTTGGCTGCGGTCCCCAAAAAGGCCACTTTTCCCTCAGCCCTCCCTTCCCACTTGCCTATGCACCCTCCAAATATCTCCGATTCCAGCAGCCCTCCCACGATCACCTGATTACCCATAGAATGTCAAGGTACCCAGACCCTTATAGCTCCATATATCTTTAAAGCCATGTCAAAAAATAAGGTTAAAAAATGGGAAATGAAGGAAATAAGATCATTTCACTTTTTAAAAAATCTGACAATCTGATAAAAATATACATGTTCTAAGAATTAAAGAAATCTAGTTATTAGGTCAGGCATGATTGCTCATGCCTGTAATCCCAGCACTTTGAGAGGCCCAGGCAGGCGATCAGGAGTTCAAGACCAGCCTGGCCAACATGGCAAAACCCCATCTCTACTAAAACATAAAAATTAGCTGGGCGTAGTAATGCACTTCTGTAGCCCCAGCTACTTGGGAGGCTGAGGCAGGAGGATCACTTGAACCCAGGAGGCAGAGGTTGCAGTGAGCCAAGATCTTACCACTGCACTCCAGACTGGGCAGACTCCATCTCAAAACAAAAAAAAAGTAAACCTTACAAGGCCAACATACACAAAGAGATTCAGCGAGGAAACATCAAGACCCAAACCCTAAAAAGAACAAAGTTCATGCCTCTGTGGCGTGGTACATTTGGAACACAGCCTTGTAAATAAGAAGTTGATCGTGAAGAAGGAGTGACATCTCAAGAACTGATTATTTTAACTGACTACACCACTGGTAATTCCTAGGTGATAGGCAGAAAAAGGGATTAAATTGTTGGTGGTCATTATATATAGAATGGCTTCTGAGCCTTTGCCAGTAAAACCCTATTCATCCATCCACCTAACCGTCCACCCACCCATCCATCCATCCATCCACCTACCCATCCACCCATTCATCCATCCACCTAACCGTCCACCCATCCAGCCAACCATCCACCTACCCATCCACCCATTCATCCATCCACCTAACCGTCCACCCATCCAGCCATCCATCCACCTAACCGTCCACCCATCCATCCATCCATCCACCTACCCATCCACCCATTCATCCATCCACCCACCTAACCGTCCACCCATCCAGCCATCCATCCACCTACCCATCCACCCATTCATCCATCCACCTAACCGTCCACCCATCCAGCCATCCATCCACCTACCCATCCACCCATTCATCCATCCACCTACCCACCCACCAATTCATTCATCCATCTACCCACCCCCCACCCCCCCCACTTCACCCACCCACCAACCTATTCATCCACCTGTCTAGGTACCCATCTGTATCTCCAAGCACCCATCCATTCATGCATCGAACCGTGTCTCTCTTTGTAATTATTTTTAATAGGTAATATATTTGTGTGCTAAAACTCTTTCAAACTACTGAAAAAAGTATATAGTGAAAAATATGTTTCTCTCCAAACTAACCACCCCCCCCAATTCTACCCCATAAGCAAGCTACCAGTGCTAACATCTTACATTCTTCCAGATATATTCCAAATACAACCTATGTATACTATTTCCCCAAAAGGCACCATGATAAATACTCTGTTCTATACCTTGTTTTTTCTGTTTTTTTTTTTTTTTTTTTTGAGACGGAGTTTCGCTCTTGTTACCCAGGCTGGAGTGCAATGGCGCGATCTCGGCTCACCGCAACCTCCGCCTCCTGGGTTCAGGCAATTCTCCTGCCTCAGCCTCCTGAGTAGCTGGGATTACAGGCACACGCCACCATGCCCAGCTGAATTTTTGTATTTTTAGTACAGACGGGGTTTCACCATGTTGA